ACATTTGAGTCGTCTATTATCAAAGGTGGCAATCTGTGCATTTGGACAAAAAAATGTTATTGATATGTCAATACAGATTGATTTGAATATAATCGTCTCCTTCAAAGAATACGGTTCAAAACCTGCATTAAATAAAGGTTAATACTTAACCTGTTATTTATCTAAGATGTCGTTCCGAAGAGTTTTGTGACTGCCAATGGAATACAAAGTGAATAATTCGTTTTTCTGATTTACCAATAATTGCCCAAAAGTCACATTGCCGGCTTTGATAATAGTCGACTCAAGTATAATAAATAGTATTTAACAATAGAACCATAATAATGTTCAAACTTATAATTTCAATTGATTATAGTCAAATTTCGACTCCTGCGGGACCACTAGTATTTTATCAATATGTAATTCATATTTAAAAACAATTTCTAAAAAACACAATTTATCAAAAAAAAAAACGAGTAAAGCTCAGTCATCGTCTAGTTATATTGTAAATGTGGATACTATCGTATTACTACACGCTAGGGTAACGCTTGGATAGTCTCTCAAGGCTATCAGCATTGGTAGGAAAAAATAGTCAAATAAATGAAACTGGATTATTGTTCAACATTTATTGTTTTCAGTAACATTAATTGAAGTGAAACTTCTTTATCGGCGTTGGAAAAAAATTTACCGTCACATTTTTCGGTTACGCGTCACATTTTTCCGTTACGCGCCATCTTTTTCTTCACCATTCATTGTTGCCGTACACAAGTGAAGGTGCCTCTTTACTCGGTAACAATAATTATAAAATACCGATGATTTTAAGTGGAGATTTTAATGTAAATTTTGCATCGGAAAATTCTTTGAAGCTAGTTGAATTTCTGAAAGATAAATTGAATTTATCCATGAAAAACAGTCCTCAAACGTCAACAACAAGATCTGGCACTACAATTGATGGAGTTTTTACTCGGTCACTAAATTTCGTGGAATGTAAACCATATATTTCNCTGTTTTGTATTCATGTCTATGATAATAAAATCCTTTTGTTTAAACTTTATCTAATTTAACTTTTTTGTATTCATGTCTATGATAATAAAATCCTTTTGTTTAAACTTTATCTAATTTAACTTTATTTAACCAATTTCTAGAAAGTTGCATGTAGATCATTTTTCGAAAAATAAGGCCATAAACAAGTTTCACTTCTTACGTGTGTACACTAGTACACGCACACATTTTTTAACAATTACCATTACTACATTATGTATCTAATTTGATGAATATTTATAACGATATGGAATATTCTAAAAGTGGTTAAACAATAATAAAGGACTTAACTGCGTTTTCGGTACAATATTAAGAAAACAACATTTAAAGCCTTTATTTTCCATAAATTATTGTATTTTACACGGTATCCTTGAATTAAATAAAACTGAATTCGTCTTTTTTCTCAATAACAGAGAGTTCAGTCAATCAATATAAGAGTCGACTATTATCAAAGCCGGCAATGTGACTTTTGGACAATTATTGGTAAATCAGAAAAACGAATTATTGACTTTGTATTCCATTGGCAGTCACAAAACTCTTCTGAACGACATCTTAGATAAATAACAGGTTAAGTATTAACCTTTATTTAATGCAGGTTTTGAACCGTATTCTTTGAAGGAGACAATTATATTCAAATCAATCTGTATTGACATATCAATAACATTTTTTTGTCCAAATGCACAGATTGCCACCTTTGATAATAGACGACTCATAAGAAAAATCTCTTTTAAAAAAAATGTTTCATATAAAAATTATACAAAAAAGGTTTTTATTTACATACTCGTATTTATAGCATGAACCGTTTCAATGAAAGTCGTATTAAGTATAATTCTTATTGACATAAACCTAAAAATACAAAAAACAACTTAGAAATGTTACCTAGAAATGACCTTAAAACTTATATCTCAAGGTGGGTGGCGCATTTACGTTGTAGATGTCTATGGGCCCCAGTAAACACTTAACACCAGGTGGGCTGTGAGCTCGTCCATCCATGCGAGAGAGAGAGAGTTTAGTAGTGGGTCCCAAGTTCAGGGTACCTGAGGATCAGCGGGTGGCGGCGGAAACCGGAAACCACTGGGTCTGTCAATGTCCCCGTCAACAAATCTCGTCCCACGACGCGGGTTCGAACACACGTAAACGCCGCGTGTTCCAAGAATCATTTATTACTGGTGGTAGAACGTCTTGTAAGTCCGCACGGGTAGGTACCTACCACCACCCTGTCTATTTCTGCCGAGAAGCAGTAATTCGTTTCGGTTTGAAGGGTGGAGCAGCCGTTGTAACTATACTGAGACCTTACACCTTATATCTCAAGGTGGGTGGCAGCATTTATGTTGTAGATGTCTATGGGCTCCGGTAACCACTTAACATCAGATGGGCCGTGAGCTCGTGCATCAAATTAAGCAAAAAAAAAATCAAGGCTTACTTCCAGAGTAGAAGAGAAAAGGGAAGAAATAGAAGTGGATTTCTAACCTCCACGCTGCAACACAGCTTGGCTATCGGACGGCGAAATTTAGTATTGGAGGGTGATTACTATCTACTAGGACAAGGTTCTATCACCGGTTGTGTTTAAGGCCCAGGTTTCAAACCAGCCTGGAGCTTGGGTTAAGCCTACGGAAGCGGGAAGCAACGACTGCTGTACCCAAAACATCACTACATTATCCAAAGTTTAAATGAATAATATTATTATCATTGTCTCACTAGAATTGTCTCTTGCATTCTACGAATAAATAATAGCTTGCATTTCAATTCGTATTTGTACTTACTTAACTAATGATAAGGAAATTTAAAAATGTAACGCTCGCTCTGTTCATTGTCACTATCATTTCATTGGCGATAAATTTGGTATTGGTGGGATGTATTTTATTAGCCGCTAAACGATGGCGCATCATGGATCATTTATTTACTCATGCTATCTAGAGCAGGGATTACGTGAAAGATTATATGTTTAAGAGGGGAGTGAGCGAAGAAATTGTATATGATGATAGAGGATGAAGAAGAAAATATGTTGCGCCGACCCCAAGTGCTGGGAGAAGGGCAGGAGAATGATGATGAGCAAGGCCTGCTAGTAGTCTATTTGAAGACTGATGAACTCAACTATGGCACGAAGTATCCCCAAGGGTCAATTTGTCAGGATAGGAAGAACGCAGGCTCAATTTTATTGTAATATCCACATGGGACGCATTGCTATACCAGGGTAGAACTAGACAAGACCTTAGCATTTATAATTTGCGTAATCGTGTTAGGACCTCTTGTGAGTCCCCACGGGTAGGTACCACCACCCCGCCTATTTCTGTCTCGAAGCAGTAATGCGTTTCGGCTTGAAAGCGGGTGGGGCAACCGTTGTAACTCTGAGACCTTAGAACTTATATCTCAAGGTGGGTGGCGCATTTACGTTGTAGATTTCTATGGGCTCCAGTAACCACTTAACACAAGGTGGGCTATGAGCTCGTCCACACATATAAGCAAAAAAAAAATTCAAATCCTCCAGGCAGGTAATAATTTTTTATAGCTCCACCACAGGTTTGACAGCCAAGTATCGTGTGCCATCGAGGAAGGAGGCGGAGAGACCAAAAGGTTTCCGTAGCTCTGACCTGTGTCTCTCCTAATGCTCACAAGAAGTCTGAATGGCAGTCATCGATGCAATGACTGCAAATCTGGATTTACAATAATTAATAATCTTCTGTAGTATTTAAGAAGGATTTTAATAAATATACTGAACCAAATTTTTTATTAATACCTTTGTCAACGCGTGTTCCATTTATTTTACTTTATCTTGTATTTATAATTATTATATGAATGTATTTGAACAACAGAACACACAGCAAAAACAGTTTGCAGTTGAGTCGAATATGGTCGGTTCCTCACTTCATAAATGTTAACCAACTTAGTAAAAAGTATTTTAAACGTCTAAGCAACGATTACTTTTATAATTAATAGTTAGTTTTTTCAATCATTTATCTTCTTGGTTATAACCCTATTCTTACAAATAATCGTAAGCGATCTACCGTATGTATGTACAATAATAGTTGCTTGAAGCACTATCTATAAATATTACCTGAATCGGATAAGACACGTGAGCGCATCGAAGGAACAAACATTGCTTTTATTTTCTGGTGCTGGGTAATGGCTGATTTGAGTGATGAAACTAACACTTATACACGAAAGCCGCTGCTAAGACAGGTAATATGATATTAATATAAGAATCTACACCCTGTGCTGGTACCATATAAACCCGAATTAACCCACCGTAAGACTTGACGTTGAAGTCTTCATTATATTGTATGACCCCTTTCAAACGACTGAACGGGTTACTGGTAGCCTGATATCAAAGCTGAAATGAAAGAGAATATTGTGAAATCTCTCATTTACGTGAGTAAGCAAGAAACAATTCTTGAGCTCAAGGCTGAGCAACCAAAAACCAACGCGTCGAATCTTTGTGAAAAAACTATCGAAAACGTCAGAGCTTCTTAGCGAGGACCTTTTATCAGAGTTGTGGTGACTATTTCCTGGATATTTTATTCTGTAATTAATCGGAACATGTTTACTTTACGAGACAATAAAAAATCGCATTGCGCATAAAAATCACGTCTTTTTTACATTAACTAATGCATTGTTACTAAGATCTGCTAGAAAAACTAGGGAGGGAGAGATTTTTTATTTTATTTATTATATGGATGGACGTCTGCCCCTTCCAACACTACATGACGATCACGACCACTCTGTCAAGAGTGACACGATTGAAAAGAAGAACAAAAACTAAACCCATAATTTGATTTTTTTTTCTTATGGTATTTAATTTGTAGCTCCTCATCAGTACTGGACCATGGAACTGCTATTTTATGTTCGGCCTCTGCGTTGGATCACCGACCGTGATGATTCCGCAGATACGAAAAGACATCAATTCCACTATTGTCATTAATGAGGATATGGCTTCGTGGATACGTAAGTCTGTTATTTTGAGTATTACTATTTCGTTGGGAACCCACAAATATTAGTTTAGTAAATTATCCCGATGCAGAAAAGACAATAAGCGAAGTTTGAAGAAATATTGTTTGGAACGGTCAAAGAGAAGATCTTCTGCCGAGTGCCTTAAATAAATGCTGTTTTGAAGCTGTTACAAGATTTTTTTGAAAAGTTAGCGTAGTCAGGTTTTTGCTAGAATTCTGCCATTCTGTTATAGCTACCGTTATGCTCACTCTAACCGGCGCCATCTAGGCGGGCTTCGGATAGCCTGCCGACCGAGAGGGCTGGTGGTCGTGGCGCCGACGACCGCCAGTCCGGCGTCCCGAGAGGGAGGGTGATGGGAGAGATGTGCTCCGCACTAAACGCTTCACTTTCCCCTTTGCCTTTTCATGAGTTCTGTCTCATGCGAGGTTTGGACGTTGGTTGTTGAGCGACAGGAGGTTTTAGTCAGTTCGACATGCCCCGCCCTCCATCCCCAGTGGACGCCCTCCATCCCCAGTGGACGGCGGAAAAAAAAAGCTACCGTTATAACTAATTCGATTACCACAATGGATTCTTTAAAAAATTCGTAATTCATAGCAGCACCCAGGCATCTTTATTGTTCTTTTGTTGCACCTTCTATGTTGTTCTTTCGATGTCAGTGGCACATTATGCTCTGACGGTATGCGATCACCATTCCTAATGGATATTAGCAATGCGACGGGCACAGGCAACTTGCTACTTACCACTCAGGACTCTTAAATTTCATTTGAAGCGATAAAAGTCTCAGCGACCAGGCAACAGCGAGGATATTATTTCAGAGCCTGATTATTATTATTAAATCTTTATAATATCTGTCGTGGCGTGCAACCTTTTTAACAGGACATAAGACCTACAACGACTAGACACAGACTAAGACAGACAGTTGACAATAATTCAAAAATTAAGAGAGAAATGGAACGAAGGCGTACGTGACTAGCGGCAGGCAGTACTTTTTTTGACTTCCTAAAAGACGAACCAGACGAACCAGACAACAAGGAACGAATTGATCGTTCTTCTAAGTACATAAAACAGACGACAAAAGAACTAACTGACCGTTCAAGTGATCCTTCGACCGTTCAATATCTGACCCAAACTAAATATAATATTAGCACACCATATTAACTGAAATTCAAAATCATCAGATATTTTTAGGTGGTCAGTGTGGCCGGTGGTACTGTATTACTTACGGTACTGACTTGTTGTGTTATTCAGGTTGCATGAGCAATTGTCCTGATATCATTTATTTATCTTTTAACTGGCTTTCCTTTTTATTTTTACCCGCTCTGGATATCTAAAAATCATCCCTATTTATATCGTCATTTAAAATTTGATTTTCAGCGGCCATCCACAGCTACAGCGCTCTCCCGTGGGTTTTCATATTGCCATCGTTGATCAGGATCTTCGGCCGCAAGAAGTCCTACATCTTAGTCTGCATCTTCGCCTGCATCGGCTTCCTCACACACTACTGTAGTAAAACTATCATTCACATAATCATAAGCGAAGTGTTAAAAGGAGTACTTACAGCTTCACATTTCACAGTGTCCGTAGTCATAGTAACTGAGTACACATCTCCGAGATACAGAGGGGTATTCTTAACGCTAAAATCAGCTTCTTTCTTTTGGGGTATTCTAGTAGCTAATGCTATAGGAACTTTTTTCCATTGGCGAAACATAGCGGTGCTTGGAATAATCTGTTCAGCATACAATTTATTCACCGTTATAGTGTGGCCAGAATCTCCTCTTTGGTTAGCTGATAAAGGAAGATGCCACGACTGTATATCAGCACACAGATGGTTGAAGGGTAGCGACCTTATTTCAGAGAAAGAACTCAAAAGACTGACAAGCTTATGTTCGGAAATTAAGCAAGATAAAGGCAAGATAAATGTGAAAAAGAACTTTCAAGATTTCTTTAAAATGTTAAACGATAGAGAGTTCTACAAACCGGTTTTATTTACGATTTTGTTAATCGGTTTATACATATTCTCAGGTAAATTAATATGTACAGTTTACTCGTTAGAGATATTAAAGAGAATCACAAACGACGAAAACGTAGCTTACAAAGGTATGCTGATATTGGATACTGTAACCGTTCTAAGTGTCTACGTTGGCTGTTTTATAACGAAATTATTTAAAAGACGTTCCGTATTATTAGCCACTTCTAGTGTAGCAGTAATATTTTTGTTTTCTATTTCATTATATTTATATTTAATCAAATTAAAATTTATATTAGATAGCGTTTATATATCTATTACATTGTTAACTGGGTTTACGATTGCCATTTCATCTGGCCCTATGATATTGTCTCTAGCGATATCGGGAGAATTGATTTCGTTAAGATTTCGTAGCTTTTCACTGTGCGTTACAGTTTTAATATTCAAATCGTTGAATGGTACAGTTATGAAATTTTCACCATTTACCTTTCGTTATTTTGGACTGCACGGCGTGTTCTTTATTTACGGCTCATTCTCGTTAACTTTCTTATTTTTATTGTACCTATATCTACCAGAAACTAAGGACAGATCGTTGCAAGAAATAGCCGATTCGATGAATGAAAAAAAACGAAATGTAGCCGAAGAGACAAAAATGATTACTAATGATGAAAAAATAATTACGTAGTGGACATTTTTAAAAATTAAATTAAATTAAATTTTATTTCACATTGTGTAGTTTAATAGTAAGCTCCAATGGTGTTGTGTAGTTAAGAGTCCTGAAATACAAGTATTATGAAGATTTTTGAAGTTCTAAATCATTTCAAATTTTTCTTTTTCCCAACAATTCTGTTTGCAGTATCAATAAATGTATTTTGGTCACATCATTCTTATCACTTTTTTCTGTGAAAGTCAAAAGAAAACTGGTAGGGTATGAATATTAAAAACCGCTAAACTTCAAATAACATATAGAAAAGTATAATATGGACTTTATAAGATAATAACTTTGATACGTTATAAGTTTTCAGGAATCACAACCCCTAGAATTCGTTTAGATGAAGGCGCTAGATGCCAGAAATATTTACATACCAGAAAAATATACGCATAATCTGAATGCTGACAGTTAATAGACACCAACTCAGCAAAATAATGAAACACATTTTTATTTTTTTATTTGGCTCACAATACACATCACAAGCTAAAAAGATACATAAAAAAACACAAGTAAAAAGAAACAAAATCTGGCTTGCAATATGAGTTATGTGCGCACGACAAAACAAGACATATAGTGCTGAATTTGTACAACAATATTCCTGACAATTACGACAAAACAACACGATAACGAAAACTAATCTAACGTATAATGTAAGGAAAAATATTCACAATATAATACATTAAACAATTACATTAACCTACCTATTAATAACGTGGAGGATGCCCTTGAACATTTTTCTAAACGTAACTAACCTACAAGTAAAAATATCCAACTCATTCAACATTGAAATAAGCTGTGAAAATTTAACTAGACTACACTATTTTTATACATGATATCTTATAATTATTTTAAAAGTTCTTCGGTTGTCTCATCGGTTATATTATCTGTTTTGTTGGTTTGTTCTGTCTTTTTTACTTCTTGGAAGCAATCATCTATTTCCAGCAAGCTTTTACCTTTAGTTTCAGGCATATATTTATATATGACTATCAACAAAACAGAGGTGGTCAAGCCGAAAAATAGAAAAGCTCCATGTAACCCGAATTTTTCGAAGCTCGCCGGCGCCAACTTCAGTAAAGTTCCACTGACAATTTTATGTAAAATCCCCACAGTGCCTAAGTATAAGCTTCTATTTTTAACAGGAACTATTTCTCCAAACAACACCCCAGTCATTATAGCAGGTCCACAGCTGACCGCCAAAGAAAATATTGATAAAAGAAATATACTCAGGGTATTGTTTTCCGGTAAAATTCCTTTCTTAATTAAGTAAAGATGAAAGGACATTGCGAATAAAATGCAATTTGAAAATGAAGTGAATATCAAAATCATTGCGCGTCTTCTCATGACTTTTGTTAGAAAACAAGTCAAATAGACGCTTATTACGGTAACTCCGTCTAGTATTAGCATTCCAGTGTATGCCATAGATTTACTACTGGTTATTTTCATGAAAATCACTAACGGATACACTGTGCATACCGTTTTCCCGGCGAAAACATTAATTAGCATCAAAGTTAGGCATATAACCATAGGCTTGTAAAATTTTTTTTCTTTCATCCTTTTAACAGCTTCCCACCAATGATCTTTAATTTCAGGATCTATTGTCTCATATCGAATTAGCCTGCTCAATTCTTTTTCTTCTTCTGCACTTGTGCCTTTCAACCATCGATGGGATTTGATGCATCGTTCTTTGAAACCCCTACTGGCTAACCAATAAGGAGATTCAGTCCACGCTGCCAACGTTATGATATTGTAAATTGAACAGACAATACCACAGAGAGCAATATATTTCCAGTGGAAAAATGTTCCAATAGCATTAGCCATCCAAACTCCCCAATAATATGACGCCAGTTTCATGGTCAGAAAGACACCCCGATATTTGGGCGAGGTGTACTCTGTGATTATAACTATTGTGAGGGTCAGATAAGCTGCGGCCACCACGCCTTGGATGACTTCGCTGGTGATGATGTGGATAACAGTTTCGCTGAAGTAGAAGACCAGGGACCCAATGAAAGCATTTACGGAGACTATGATGAAAGGGATTCTTCTGCCGTAGACTCGTATGATGATTGGGAGTATCACTACCCAGGGTACACCGACGTAACATGTGATGGATGCTGTATAAATAAATAAAATCATCAATATTGTAGACAAAATTTTACATTTTATTTAAGTTTATTAACTGTTACTAGTATAAATACAGATTAGAAAGAGTGATTCCACCTTAATCAGTGATCATATATATTAAATACTTAAACCTCAATAAACTACAATGCACATTGAGGCATTAACCTTCAGCTACTCTTAATCGATAGAAAAATGGATTCAAATAAATAAAAAATAAAGCCTGGAAAGAAAATACGTGGTTCTACGGGGTAACGAATCTCAACCTCTGACTTACGTATCCAGGACGCCATTTCTTCATCAATGATCTCCATGTTATTGGTCTCATTCCTCATCTGGGGTATGAAGACAGCTGGGGCTCCGGAGAACAAGCCAATGATGAAATAGCATGTCCAAGCTCCACTGCAGATTATCAGCTGGAGAAGAGAAATGTTCTTTTACAGTTTTACCAATTCCAGATTATCTGATGCCCTTAAACAGCCTTACCACCTCTGCCTGATTTAGCTGTTGGTGTGTGCTGTTACGGCAATTGAATTGGTTGAAATTGAGGCTCAACGATTGACGCCCAGATTTTGAATAATCTCTGTTTTAGTCTTCACATGAAACTCCAGTGAATCGACTAATTCACTGATTTACTGGTGGTAGGATCTCTTGTGAGTCCGCACGGGTAGGTACCACCACCCCGCCTATTTCTGCCGTGAAACACTATTGCGTTTCGGTTCGAAGGGTGGGGCAGCCGTTGTAGCTATACTTGAGACCTTAGAACTTATATCTCAGGGTGGGTGGCGCATTTACGTAGTAGATGTCTATGGGCTCCAGTAACCATTTAACACCAGGTGGGCTGTGAGATCGTCCACCCATCGAAGCTATAAAAAAAAGTCATAACCATTCATTTATTATAACCAATAGTGATTAGTACGGTAATAGTGAATAAATAAAACTTGTTGAATCTATTGAAGATTGTTTTTTTTTTCTAACTATTCGCTGGTAGCCTGAGGGGCTATTTCGGCTATGCTTTGATTGGTAAGTGAGCTCACGGCGCTCAACCTGAGAGAATGTGCTAAGACGGCTCTAAGAAGAGTAGTGCTGAAATCGCTTTTGAAGTATAATTACACTATTTCATACAAATTAACTAGCTATGCTGATTATTATAGCAAAATTTGATTAGATCACCAGGCGTTTCTGTAGTGTAGCGGTTATCACGTGTGCTTCACACGCACAAGGTCCCCGGTTCGATCCCGGGCGGAAACAGTTTTTTTCTATTCTTTTTAAATTCAAGTTTTGAAACTAACCTGCCTTAAAAAGTATTTCCACAAAAATCTGTCATCATCGCTGCCGTCCATGTTGATTATTAAAACATTCTTCAGACTTTATGCTCTTATTATAGTATGACAAATCTATTGAGATTGTGTTCAATTTATCATTTATTTATACAATAAAAAAACTAAACGCTAGATCCTTATAGAAGAACTAAGCTCAATTGCTTAATTTGTTAAGAATTCTCTTCCAGCGAGCCCAGTAATAATTCTTTTTTTTAGAAATACATGTTATTGTAATCTATAGAAACCTTGTATATTTGTAATTGTATGAAGAATGATTTCTGTAGGAATATGACCAGGGTGCGAGAAACGGTGGTCCAGTACTATAAAGGTATGTTCAATCAGTCACAGTCGACGGTCATAAAAAATATTATAGTTCTCCGACTATTGAGTATTCTTCAATAATAAAATTTATCGCTGTCACGCCTCTGTGACGTTCATACAGATTACGTTATTAACTATTAATATTTATTAGGCACTAATACGTAATTGTAGTTTGACGGTGAATTGTTTTAGGTAACTTTGACCGACGATCATACAAGCCACCCGATATAAAGTAGATCTTTTAAAATACCAGATAAACTAACATCTGTTGAACTTGAAATTGAAAATACGTATGATTGGAAGAAATATACGTAGCTTCAAGTTTTTATTTTTTATTTTATTGCTTAGACAGGTAGTTGAGCTCACGGCCCACTCCGCGGTGAAGGAATAACATCGTGTAATAAAAATCAAACTCGCAAAATTGTAATTTACGTAATTACGGGTGATAGGGCGTCTTGTGAGTCCATACGGGTAGGTACCACCACCCTGCCTATTTCTGCCGTGAAGCAGTAATGCGTTTCGGTTTGAAGGGTGGGGCAGCCGTTGTAACTATACTGAGACCTAATATCTCAAGGTGGGTATCTTGAGATATTAGTTCGGCGGCATTTATGTTGTAGAAGTCTATGGGCTCCGGTAACCACTTAACACCAGATGGGCTGTGAGCTCGTCCACCCATCTATGCAATAAAAAAGAAATATTTTGTTTGCGTAATATGTAGTGTACACTGACTTACACGAAATCGTAATAATTATTGACTTAAATAATACGAATTTTATAGTTAATTTTTTTACAGTCGTCCGTGATCACGACCAATGTAAATTATTCGTTATATCGGAAATATTAAAATGAAAATAATTATTAAAATTATTAGATTACGTCTACGGTTAATAAAAATCGAATAAAATAGTGTATATAATCTTTAACAACGGATGTCGTTGACCCTGGTCTAAAATCTGATTTTATTATTGTGAATATGAAATCCGAAATCCTTAGACCTTAATCCAGTGATTCTCAACCACTGTTCCGCGGCACTTTTGTGTGCCGCCAAGTTTCAAAAGTGTGCCGCCAAATTTTGGGAATATATAATAATGTTAATATTATTAAATTATATCATTTTAAAAGAAAAATATTTTAAACATGAATATATATTTAAATCCACAAAAAAAAATTATAGTATATTTTAGTTTATTTCGTATATTAAATTTTTTTTATAAACTATTTATGCAGTGTGTTTTAGTAAGTAAATAATTTTTATCTTTTTTTTTGTGTGCCGCCAAATTTTGAAATCGTTAAATATGTGCCGCAACAAAAAAAAAAGGTTGAGAATCACTGCCTTAATCTATACTATTATATAAATCTACAGTGGTTTTTACGGATGCTCCGTTATAAATACTGAACCGTGCATCCGATTGACTTGAAACTTGGTATCCGTGTAGAAAATACATGTACTTAATGGATAGGCTAATATTTATATGAGTGTTGGACTCCCTACACCAGTTGCGGGGGCGTTAATGATGAGAATCTTTGTGGGGGTGAGGAATAATAATGTTAATTTTAAATGCCCAGCGAAGCGGGCGGGTACAGCTAGTATACTATAAATTTATATGTATTAGATTTTAGTTTCCAATACTTGATAGTTTTCATGGTATTAGTTCAAATCAAAGCCAATAGATTAACAATATCCCACTGAGTTTCTCGCCGGATCTTTTCAATGGGTCGCAATTCCGATCAGGTAGTAAATTCTGCTCTTTTTTTCCTACCTATGCTGATAGCCTTGAGAGGCTATATCAGCTTTGCCCTAACGTGTAGGTGAGCTCACGGGGCTCGAACCGGAGTGTTGCTAACACTGACCCTAGCGAGAACAGTGCTTCGCAGAATCTACCACCGGATCGGAAACGCGACCCTCTGAGAAGATCCGGCGAGAAACTCAGTGGGCGAAATTCTGCGAAGCACTGCTCTTCCTAGGACTAGTGTTAGCACATTCTCTTAGGTTAAGCCCGCGAATTCAGCTACCAGCCCCGGTGTAGCTGGAATATCCCTTAAGCTACTATCGAATAAGTAGGGAGAAAAGACAACGAAAAACGCGACATTCAACTGAAAAAATATATTTAATTAAGTTAATATATGTTTTATTTTCAATACTCTCGCGTGCCATGCGTGGAATTAACTTGCCTTTGGCTATATAGCCTTCCTTTGCCGCTGTTGAAAAAAAAAAACAAAGAAAATTGAACCAATATTGTCATAAAACATCGTTTAAAAACATAGAAACTCGGTAATTAAAAGTCTCGGAAAGTCGTAAATCTATAAGTTTACAAGATATTCGAAATGAAATGGCCGCCCCGCGGAAGATACGATCGGTAATGAAAAACTGTATCGGCCGAGTTTCTCGGGAGAAATTTAATTATGAAACTTTGAAAAATTAATCGGATGGTAATTTAAAAAAAAGAATCTTACTGAAGTTCTCGAGAAAGCATTTTTAGCGTAACAATCGCTTAAGCTTACTTTCTTTGCTTAGTGACCTTAATATTGGCGTTATTTAAAGTGAAATGTGTTCACGCATGCTCATACTTACCATACGTAATCCATACTTACCGTACATACCGTATTTAACGGCCGTCTGGTGTAGTGGTAAGTGACATGGTCACTACACAAGGAGGTCGCGGGTTCGAATCCCGCCAAGGGAAGATATTTGTATGATAAATATAAAATATCTTTTCCAGGGTTATGGATGTATGGTCCGGTGGTGAAGCGGTGCAAGGTGGCGCCTGTGCGCCGCTCACGGTGTGTCTCCCGAGACGAGGTTCTTCGGGATTTTCCTGGGGATGAGATCCTGTCTTAACACTAGTACGGGTACCGGCTAAGGCGAGACTTTCGGCGCGCACCACGGTACCGTAAGTCTCGTGTAGTCGGTTTGGTGGAGCTCGATGGGGTTTAGTCGGTGGTCGTCTGCAGGGCAAGTGCTTCGCGCGCCTTTTTCAAGGCGTAGTCTCCTGTGAGAAACCTTGGCCCTTTTCTTCTCCCCTTCTTCCTCTCAGGAGGCGCCAGAGTCCGACATAACCCGGTCCGTTACCCCCCTCGACCGGGTATCCGTAAATGGATTCCCCAGCGTTAAAAAAAAAGGGGTTATGGATGTATATTAAATATATGTATGTGTATAATAAAATTCTTACATTTATTTCCGTTATCTGATACCTGTAACACAAGTTTTTCTCAACTCTGTCTCATCCTTCAAAACGGAATGTACGAGACTGCGATCTGACATTTCAAGCTGCTAGAATATCCACGTGGTGATATCTACATCGCAAGTCTATCTAAAAAACTCCCATACTACGTAAAATTCTATAAAATATTAACATTACTTGTTTATTATAAAAAAGCCACGTCTTAGTTTTTACACAATTAGCCATTTTATGTTGGTTATAGCAACTACAACTTATTTTATACAAAGAAATGTAATTACTGCGAGACAATTTATAAAATGTAGCTCAGTATTCACAATAAATATTTTAGTGATTTTTACATGACTGTAAGATTAATTTATTTTACATAAATTGCTTTTAACTAACATTATTTTTATTCAGCCTAATAATAGATGGCGCCAACAACATGATTTGCGTAACAATTACAATACTAATCAAATTATTTATGTTAATTATAACATCATTTATTATTAATATTTATGCTTTATTAATATTTGTCATCCGAGTGTCGTCGCAGAGTCCTTGAGTACTTTGGTCACATCGCACGGAAGGATGGTAGCAATCTCGAGAGGCTCATCGTGACTGGTAAGGTAGATGGGAAAAGACCTCGGGGGCGCAGCCCAATACGTTGGTCCGACCAGATCCGCACCGCTCTTGATTCCACGTTTCACAACGCCCTCCACACCGCCAGAGACAAGAATGGATGGAGAAAGATCGTGCTTGCGAAGGTGATACAAAAGGGTGGTCACGACCCTCAGCAATGAGGAATACGACGCAAGGAGGAGGATTAATATTTGATTAGTCATTACTCATTTGTGTTTTTAAATAATAATATAATCATTAAACATATTCTGAACATTTTCACATCAAGACATTGTCTACTAAATATTAAGTATGGTAGAATAACAGTTTCATCTTGCTAATAATAAATAAATAATAACATAGAATAAAATAAACTATATATTATTTAATATTAATTATTGGCAACAGTGGCGTTTGTGCCCATATACCCTACTTTCAAATCCATTATTGTTCTCAATATCTTCGTATAAAAAATATTTATAAATAGCAACCTATTGGTATGTTTGTTTGGTCGTGGTGTGTGCTTTTTCCTGTCAGAGAAGGTTAGGGTCATAGTACAAAGATAGGATAAGTGGCGCTCGAATATTATTTTTTTATTGCCCTTGTAGACAGACGAGCATACGGCCCACCTGATGGTAAGTGGTTACCGTCGCCCATGGACTTCAGCAATACCAGGAGCAGAGCCAAGCCGCTGCCTACCGTTAAGTACTCTCCACAAGCCTCGTTGGAAGAATGACAAGTCATAGCGCTCGAGAAACACCGTGGAGAGGAGCTCATTCCAACGCCGGATGGTACGTGGCAAAAAAGATCTCTGGAAGCGCACTGTGGATGAACGCAGTGGCTCCAGGTAGCATGGATGAACTCTACTCCGGTGGCGAGCAGTGCGATGGTAAATACGAGATGGTGGTATCATCTCGA